TATGTTTTATCTTCAATAACATTTAATTTTGTATGCTCATCACTATAAATTAAATTTTATGTTGTCCTTGTTCAAAGTCAAAATAAACATTGACAAAGGTAATATGATCATATCAAAATAAAGTACTCGATTTTATTTATTGGTAATGGAAAATTAATTTTGATCACTTTATAATTGAATATTTATGTACTTGACAACTTAAAGCACTTAATATATTATATTATTTGTCGTCAAGGTACATTTATTTATTTACTTAAATATTGAATGTGTTTATGAAAATAATCGAATATCATAAATCAATATTTATTTATTCAAAATATCAAAATATAAAGTTGAAATATATACATTTGGACATATATTTCAATAGAAAGTTTACCCAATAAACAGAAAAATGTTGTGAAAAGAACTAAAATTTGTGTATGGATAATGGATTGCAACTCCAAACTTCGTTTTGGTAATTTTTTCTCCTTTTCTGGATTATCTATTTTCTTCAAAGTGAAATTAGTTTTTTTTCCTCCTTATATATATGGCTACTCACTCGTGCAAAATGGATGTTTTTTGAAAATCTCATTTAGGTAAATGTTGACGAGATCTGTTTACATTGATGAGAACAAGGGATTGTCCAAATTTTAACAAAAACACTCATTGATACTATCTAGTTTGTCAAGAATGTCTAGAAATTTGTATTAAAGAAAACAATGAATTTTATGAAAAAAATTAATGGAAAAGTTTTGAAAAAGAGAATAATGTTTAAGAAACAGAAAGCAGTGAACATTTCAATCTCCCTCTCTATATGTCGAGAAAATTGTGGACTCGTACTCAACATTTATATCGTATTATAGACCATAAATAAGTGGGCAAAGGACTGCATTGCTCTTCCAACTGTTTTATTATATTGGGAGCATTAAATCTCATTTCTAGCTATATACCTCCTTAATTGTTGTAACCACAACATAAATATACTACTACCTTCTTCCAATAAAGATAGTCATGTTTTTCTTTTTCGTCTACTCCAAATTATGGTCTTATTTTTTATCTTTTATCAAAAATATAAGAGACTTCATTATTCAATTGTAGTTGAAAAAAAAACGTTTCATCTTCCATGACATTTATTCA